GCACTTGCCATTGCGATAGAAGTTGGCGACAGAGCAGGAGAAGGAACAAGGTACGCGAACCTCGGAAATATGTTTGATTCCCTTGGCGAATATCAGAATGCTAAAGAATATCACGAGAAAGCACTTGCCATCGCGATAGAAATTGGCGATAGACGAGGAGAAGGAACAACATACGGGAACCTCGGAAATGTGTTTAATTCCCTTGGCGAATATCAGAATGCTAAAGAATATCACGAGAAAGCACTTGCCATCGCGATAGAAATTGGCTACAGACGAGGAGAAGGAAGAACATACGGGAACCTCGGAGGTGTGTTTAATTTCCTTGGCGAATATCAGAATGCTAAAGAATATCACGAGAAAGCACTTGCCATCGCGATAGAAATTGGCGACAGAGCAGGAGAAGGAACAACATACGGGAACCTCGGAAGTGTGTTTGATTCCCTTGGCGAATATCAGAATGCTAAAGAATATCACGAGAAAGCACTTGCCATCGCGATAGAAATTGGCGACAGAGCAGGAGAAGGAACAAGATACGGGAACCTCGGAAATGTGTTTGATTCCCTTGGCGAATATCAGAATGCTAAAGAATATCACGAGAAAGCACTTGCCATTGCGATAGAAATTGGCGACAGAGAAGGAGAAGGAACAACATACGGGAACCTCGGAAATGTGTTTGATTCCCTTGGCGAATATCAGAATGCTAAAGAATATCACGAGAAAGCACTTGCCATCGCGATAGAAATTGGCGATAGACGAGGAGAAGGAACAACATACGGGAACCTCGGAAATGTGTTTAATTCCCTTGGCGAATATCAGAATGCTAAAGAATATCACGAGAAAGCACTTGCCATCGCGATAGAAATTGGCTACAGACGAGGAGAAGGAAGAACATACGGGAACCTCGGAGGTGTGTTTAATTTCCTTGGCGAATATCAGAATGCTAAAGAATATCACGAGAAAGCACTTGCCATCGCGATAGAAATTGGCGACAGACGAGGAGAAGGAAGAACATACGGGAACCTCGGAGATGTGTTTAATTCCCTTGGCGAATATCAGAATGCTAAAGAATATCACGAGAAAGCACTTGCCATCGCGATAGAAATTGGCGACAGAGCAGGAGAAGGAACAAGATACAGGAACCTCGGAAGTGTGTTTGATTCCCTTGGCGAATATCAGAATGCTAAAGAATATCACGAGAAAGCACTTGCCATCACAGTAGAAATTGGCGACAGACGAGGGGAAGGAACAACATACGGGAACCTCGGAAATGTGTTTGATTCCCTTGGCGAATATCAGAATGCTAAAGAATATCTGGAGAAAGCACTTGCCATCGCAATAGAAATTGGCGACAGAGCAGGAGAAGGAACAAGATACGGGAACCTCGGAAGTTTGTTTTATTCCCTTGGTGAATATCAGAATGCTAAAGAATATCTGGAGAAAGCACTTGCCATTGCAATAGAAATTGGCGACAGAAGAGGAGAAGGTTTTGCATACTCCAATCTTGGAACGGTGTACAGTAATCTTAATAAAAATCGGCATGCTAAAGAACATTTGGACAGAGCAGTCGGCGTCAGTATTGCAATCGGTGACAGACAACTAGAAGTCAAGGCTATTGTAGGTTTGGCACATGTCTCTGCTTCTGTAAATGACATTCAGAAGGCAAAAGAACATTGTGAGAAGGTGCTTACAATCAGCAGAGAATGCGGCAATAGAGACTGCGAAGCACAACTATACCTATCCGTTGGTGGTCTATCCCGATCGTTTAGTGAATATGATAAGGCAACATATTATTTACAGAAAGCTTGTTCCTTAAGCAGCCAAATTGGACACAAAATGACTGAGTTTCAAAGCCTTCTCGGTATTACAGTTTTAAAGATATCGCAGTTCGAGGTTGTGGAGGCAATGAAATATCTTCTTCAAGGTATTGAAAAATATGAAAAAATCAGAACTCTTCAGAAAGGAAACAGTGAATTTAAAATTTCTCTATTAGAGGAACACGGTACTTTTCCCTACAAGTTACTCACTTACCTCCTTTGTGGTACCGGAAAATTTCGAGATGCTCTCTATGCTGAGGAGCTGGGACGAGCAAGAGTCCTCGCAGAACTCATGGCAGACAAGTACTCCGCTGAAAGCCACATCTCAGCTGATCCACGATCATGGTTCGGGATTGAAAACATCGTGAGAAGAGAAAGTAACAGTGTTTTTTTGTACATTTCGTACGAAGATCGGCAAGTTCTGCTCTGGGTATTGAAAGCAAATGGAGACATTTTCTTTCGAAAAACAGACGAAGTGAAAATAGACACTCTTATTGCTGAGCAAGTTTGCGAAGTGGAAGGAGTTTTCAAAAAGAGCGCCAAATGCTTTGGTGTTTTACCCACAGCGAACTGCGAAGACCGATCGCTGGATGACAACGTGACGACATCTCTTCATAAAGAGAGCCAAACAAATTTGCGAGGTGACGAAACCAAAGATACCGGAAGAAGTCATCATTTGTGCTACGAATGGATCGTCGCACCTGTGGCAGATTTACTCACAGAGCCCAAAATCATCATTGTACCGGATCGTTTTTCGTACCGAGTCCCATTTGCTGCCTTGCGCGATGAACAAGCCGGAAAGTATTTATCGGAGAAGTACAGAATACGCATGGTCCCTTCATTGACAACTCTCCGGCTCATTCAAGAATGTCCAGCAGACTATCACAGTCAAACCGGCGGACTGGTTGTGGGTGATCCTACGGTTGGCAAAGTGCAATACAATGGACGTCTCACTGACATTATACCATTGTTCTGTGCAAGTAAGGAAGCAGAAATGGTTGGTCAACTGCTGGGTGTTCAGCCTTTATTGGGAAGTCGCGCAACAAAGCAGGCGGTTCTTCAAGCAATACCTTCAGTGAGTCTGATACATGTTGCCGCACATGGAAATGCCGAAAGAGGAGAGATTGCCCTCTCTCCTCAATGTACTACTAACAGTACTCCACAAGAGGAAGACTACGTCCTGACAATGTCCGACATTGAAGGAGTTCAAGTGCGAGCTAAACTGGTAGTACTCAGCTGTTGTCACAGTGGGCGTGGATTGGTTAAAAAAGAAGGAGTTATTGGAATCGCTCGAGCATTCTTAGCATCTGGTGCACGTTCAGTGTTGGTAGCATCGTGGGCTATAGAAGACAAAGCAACGGCGAAGCTCATGAAATGTTTCTATAAACACCTTGTGCGTGGAGAGAGTGCCAGTGAATCTCTTCACCAGGCCGTTCAATGGTTGAGAAGCAATGGATTTTCCAAACCTTCCCAATGGGCTCCGTTTGTGTTGATGGGGGATAACGTGACATTTGATTTTATGAAAAAAGGGTAAGTCTGATTATAATGAGCAATTTTCTACGATAAACCGATTAGCACACTTAACCTGTTCAGTTCATTCAGTTGTCCTAATTTTATTGTTTGTTTTTGTCTTTGTCTTTCATCCATAAAATGCCAAGGAAAATAAGTTGATTTTATCCAGCGCTCGGAGACAGAGTTTTTTCACAAAAGGCTTTCTAAAACTGGCGTTTAATTAGCGTTTCTTTTGTATGCAATATATTCAGAAAAATTATTCAAGGTCGATGCGATACTACACGTTATGACGATGAAGGTAACTTGAGAAGCTGAAAAAGTTAACTTTATCTGCAAAAAATCAACAAAATTAATAATAAATTGACAATCTTAAAGTCACTTTTATATCAAGCATGGTTGATAATCGTAGCCAATGAAATTGAAGAGGAAAGTAATTTCTTTAATTGGAAATCTGTTCCGTTTACTTCAAAGCTGAGATAGTGACAAATTTATAATGTTTTTTCAGGAAAGAACCGGAACTCGAGGTGGACAACAACGAGATGGAGAAGAAACAGGGTGACTACTGATCCTACACAAAGATTCTTCTTCCTAAACATTGTCGTTCAATGGACACTGGTATTACTTTGCGAAGACATTTTTAATTTTTTTCAAGTTAAGTAATTGATTTTGCGTGCTTTTGTAGACAAGGCTTAGTCGAAAGGCAGCGACGATGAAACCTGCAATTAAGTCGTTTGATCTATTAAGTATACTATCAGTAGGGAACTAAAATAAATTGGGATGGGAAAACTGAACGTAGGAAATTATAGCTCAATGTATAAAAATGTGAGAATGTTAGCAAAGCTTCGTCAAAACTCAAATTAATCCTTGATTTAAATCATTATAATTCTGTTTTCAATTCTCCCGTTGGACGCACACGTGATCATTCAAGATTGATTAAGACTGTTCACAGGTGCAGGAGATAATAACAAACTAACGGAAAATGGAACAAAAAGTGTCGAGATACTGAAGACACAATAAAAAAAAAGAGAAGGTAATTATGTAAAAATCAGACAGAGAAGAGAAAAATGCTTGAGAATTACCGCAAAAATCAAACAGTGTTGTGAACAGGGCGCTACATATTAATCTAAAAGTTAAGTGAAGAAGAGAACAAACAGAGTACAATATACTAAAAGAAAAGTATTAACAAATAGAGAAGAAGAGAAACGGTGAGCGAATTATTGAGATAAAATTAGGAGAAAACATTGCGCGAGATACTAACGCCGAACAGAAGAGTGCAAACAGGTTGTAGGATACAATCAGCCAGAATTAAACCTTTAACTCCCATGCTCTCATTAGAAATTATCCCTACTGTCTGCCATGAAATACTTATGATTTCAATTTGGAGAAATTGGTATTGGATCAGCCCGTAGTTCCCTAATTGAGTTTTCTTCTTTATTCTCCTCACTTGTCTGCTTGATTCTGTGTTGATGTTGTAAGGAGAAATTCTGTCTTGGTCACTCATGGGAGTGAAAGGGTTAAGGAAAGGAACAGAGGGCTCGATTCTAATATAGGAAACAAATTTAAATTAAATTTAAGTTAAAACAAACAGTGAGGTAGATATCAACTTGGAAATCGAACAGAGACGAGAAAAGCATTGTGTATAATTTGAACGAAATATTTAATTGGAGGAGAGAACGAGCCATGCACAAGATTCAACTCAACAAAACCACCAAGCAAAGCAGTGAAAAAAAAACAGTTCTCAATACAATCGCAACAAACAGTAAAATCATAGGCATGCAATGCATGCAAGAGTTATTTTTTTGGCTGGGTGAGTTGAGGTGGGACACTGTGTAACTGATGTTTTCATTTTTGTAAAAGAAAAAGAGCCTTAACCTCAAAAAGAACGAAAATAACGCATTAGTTTAGTTAACAGACAGGAAAAAAAGCGTTCCTATTTGTCTGAAATAAACTCACACGTAGTTATTTCGTGGTCCATTGTCTTTGTGGTCTGAGTAATTAGAAACAAAAATAAACTTACTTTACCTTAAGAGAGAGGGGGAGAGAGAGGGGGAGAGAGGGGGAGAGAGAGGGGGAGAGAGGGGGAGAGAGAGGGGAGAGAGAGGGAGAGAGAGGGGGGAGAGAGAGCGAGAGAGAGGGGGAGAGAGGGGGAGAGAGAGGGTGGAGAGAGAGAGAGAAAGGGAGGAGAGAGAGAGAGAGGGGGAGAGAGAGAAGGAGAGAGAGGGGGGAGAGAGAGGGGAGAGAGGGGGGGAGAGAGAAAATTTATTTTTATTAACCACGTTTTTCGGTCCATACAACATGATTATGGGGAAGTTTTTAGTTCCTCTATTTTGCCCCAACTTCAAGATCGTGGCTCATTACTGTTCCTAATAATATACATGAAAAAATTACTCAGTTCTGATTGGTTAAGATAAATGCAGTTTTCAGGTAATTCAATGTAGAGGAGGGTTAATTCAGTGCAAAGAAGTAACAAACCAGACATTCTGATTGGTCAATAATCAAAGAAACTCACAGATAGCCAATCAAATGCGAGCCTCGGATGTCGCAACATTTGGATACGCTGAAAATTTGCAAGCGAAACAATGGCCGGCGTTTCAAGTAGGTTTTCTTTCGCCACTGCAACAACACGACAGCAGCTGAAAAACAGCTCTAACAACGAAAACACTGTTAAAAGCACTACTCTTTGGTTATCGGTTTGGAAAAGATGGTTTTTAGAGAAGGCAATTGCCGAGGAAATTGAAAATTACGAGCAGACCCAGCTTAACACTTAGCTCGAGCGCTTCTACGCCGAAATTAAAAGCAAACATGGTTAAACCTCGCAAACGACGATTCCATTTCATCGAAAGTGATTCGGTGTTTAGCCGAACTTTGAACTTTTTGTGCCCTAAAGATGTGAAAATATCATTGTACATTATTGTTTTGATCGTACGCGGTTGTTTTGCCCGAACACATCGTTTGAATAAATTATTTTTTCACTTGATGCGCGCGCTTTGCTTCTGCACAATTATGATAAGCTATCTCGTATTTTTTCATGTATGTTATTGATACGTAATCACATGATTTTTCTCGTGCAATTTGGAATAAATAAGCACTTGTGAATTGCACTCACTTAGTGAGTGACCAATTCACATCTACGTATTGACAAACGGCAGTTGAATCCCTTGGAGGGCATCTAAATGTCCACATTCATTCTCTGATGAAACTGGGAGCACGTGTGAAAGTTCGGAGTGTCCGACGTATCTCCAGCCTTCTTCTCAGATAACGCTCGGGTCCAAACGTTCCTTTACAATGAAATAATACAAATTTTATGTTCTTGGCCGAAACTATGTATTGCGCCCGACTCAGAGTCATTTTAGCCCTTTCCGTTAGGCGAAGGTTATAGAGAAGGGCCCAAAAACACAATCATGCTTCAGAACATAAATTGTTCTACTATCATTTACACTTTTGAAGGGTATTGAGAATATAAAAACTGAAAAAAATGGAAAAAAGTCAGAAAGAAGGAGAAGGGATGGAGTGGGTCAGTAGTATTCTGGTCATCCCCGCCCCCTTCCCTACACCGTACAAACATGGCCGGTCAGAAGGCTTCACTGCAGGCTAAGAATGGCAGAGCGTTACAAGACATTGAAAAGAAAGGCTATACGTGGGAAAGCCCAAGAGGGAAGAACTGGGATATTGTAAGCTTCCAAAGTTCACTGCGCGGATAAATCAATTCAGGGGTATTCAGGTGAGGTTCGTTGAACAATTTGGAGGGCCAAATCATCGGAATGGTACGATGGCCCACAAGGGACTCGCTGCAGAGAAAAAGAAACGCTGCAAAGAAAAAACAATCGCTGCAAAGAAAAAAAGTGAACGTTGCAAATAAAAAACATGCTGCAAACAAAAAGATGAACGTTGAAAAAAAAAATGCTGCAAACAAAAAAGTGATCGCTTCAAACAAAAAAGTGAACGCTGCAAACAAAAAAGTGATCGCTGCAAACAAAAAAGTGAATGCTGCAAACAAAAAAGTGAACGCTGCAAACAAAAAAGAACAGATCATGCGTGCGCATTATGCTCGAGGGACTGGGTAGAGTTTTGCTCGTCTTCAGAGCCCAGGAGTATTTCCTTCCATTTTTCAAACATCCGTTCTCGTTAAAAAACTAATCAAAGAGTATTCGTAATGTTTTGTAGCCATTGTGGCATTGGGGATGCTCAAGAGAGTATCTGCGATAATTGTGTGACAGAAAAAGATGTAAACGAAGTGATAAAGCGCTATTTTCATCGTGGCTATCCTTATGACGCTATTGTGGGTCTTCTCAAGAAACGAGGACTTCAAATGTGTGTGCGAACACTGAAGAGACGTCTGAGATGTCTCGGGTTAAAAAGGAAGGGCAATGCAAAGATAATGGACGATTCAGAGATAAGAAATGTCATTCGTGAAGAAATGGAAGGCCCCGGAAGTTATCAGGTTACAGAAGTATTTGGCACGCCCTGGGATTGCGGCACCATGTTCATGTTCCACGTAATTTGGTCGCAAAAATAATGAAGGAAATTGATCCTGATGGGGTAGAGGAGAGGAGATCTCGAAGGTTAAAGAGAAGAACGTTCAGCTCAAAAGAAGCCAATGCATCGTGGCATTTTGACGGTATTTGTTTTTTACTTCGTAAATTATAGTGGTGTATTGTAAATGAACATGTTGGTATGTAAAATCTTGCATCTAGCCTCATGCCCTTTCCACTTTAAGATTAGTTGGTTAGGCGACTTATCTACTTAGATTTCTAATTTACAAATTTTATCTTTTTAGGATATGACCTCTGCGATACCGGTGCAGCGGTTAAGAATATATGAAAGTCATATATTTGAACTGCGGATAAAGACATGAATGAAAGTGATCCTCTTTATCCGCAGTTCAAATATATGACTTTCATATATTCTTAACTGTTTGTTTCATCACTTCACGGGTTTATTTAGAACCAACATCATGATCAGCTCCCAGTTGGCTTGTTAGCTCAGTTGGTAGAGCGCTGCACCGGTATCGCAGAGGTCATGGGTTCAAATCCCGTACAGGCCTGAATTTTTTTCAGGCCTTATTTTCACTACTGCCTAAGTAGTGCACATTACTGCAAGGATCACTTTCATTCACGTCTTTATCCGCAGTTCAAATATATGACTTTCATATATTCTTAACCGTTTAAAGATGACATTGTTGTAAAATTGGCATAACTTTTTTAATGTTTCATCAACACAACAGTTAGCATGCATGTTAAGGCCACCATCCAAAGTCTAAAAATTACATTCAATTTGATAATTTAATTACATTATTAACAATCAGTACTACCAAGGTATAACATTTTGACATGCAAAAGCTTTGATCTGCACATATGAATGAATAAACATTACTTGAAATTTGTGGTTATCAATATTGTTCCATAGAACACATTTTTTTAAGCCACAAACAGTGGGAGAGGACAGCAGTCAGTTTGCATTCCAGGGGATTATTGAGATATGGACAATGGAAAGGCTTCCTTGACAGAAATCAACATGTCACAGAATGGCTGAAATATAAACATGAATTGTCACTGGTTTTTCTACC